GTCCAAGTTTGGCCATCGTATGTGTGGTAGGTTAAAATCTCCCGCAACCACAATATTTGGGGAAGGTTCACCTAAGTTGGCAACCTCTGTTTCTATTATATCGAGAGTTTCATTGACGTTTATAACTTTGGTTTCCTGAAATAAGCTAAAAGACACCTTGAACATAGATTATCAACCCAGTAATGCACCTTCATCATATATTATCAAGCCACTAAAACACATTGGACATATATTATCAACCCACTAAGGCACCTCGATCTAATATGATCAACCCAGTAATGCATTTGAACATATACTGTATTATCAACCTACGAAGGCAGCGTGACCTCAGGTAATTTCAACTCATTGATTATTTTATTCGTCTGCCCAGAACACGCTACTTCAGAAAGGCAGCCCTCGTTAGTTTTTAATCTCACGTGAAATAAAGTTTAGATTAAAGAACAGCAATCATCTGGAGTTACTGCATCAATACGCTTCGTAAATTTCTCGCCACGCAACGCTAATGACTAACAGCTCAGTGACTTACAGTTTAATATTTCACGGCTTTAATGTGTTACGGCTTAACGTCTTACGGCTAAATGTCTTACGGCTTTGTTTCTTACGGCTTTATGTCTTACGGCTTTATGTCGTACGGCTTTATGCCTTACGGTTTTATGTCTTACGGCTTTATGTCTTACGGCTCAGTGTCTTACAGCTTAGTGTTTTACGGCTCAGGGTGTTACGGCTTTACGTCTGACGCCTTTATGTCTTACGACTTAACGTCTCACCACCTAATGTCATCCAGCTTAACGTCTCACGGCGTAATTTCTTACAGCTTAACGTCTCCTGGCTTAATGTCTAACGGCTCAAGATCATATGGCTAAATGTCTTACGGTTTATCGTCTCACGACCCAAAGTTTCACGACGTTGAAGTGTCAGCATTCGCGGTGTACACATTATTCCAACTCTCCCTGCTGCATTGGCCTTCGCAACGTGTTCGAGAACTTGTTCACTTCTTACTGTTGAATAAGAGATGCCCTCGCCCCAGGCTAAAGTCGCAAGTTAATTTTCAAGACTCGACTTTTTATCTCTTCAATTCTTTAATTCTAAGCAACCTAAAGCATATTGTTTCATTTCACAATGAGAAAAGTTCATTAATTTTTTCTATGTTTTATTTTTCGTTAGTGAAAAGGTCTTACAACTATTAGAACTTATTATTTATAACTATGTCATACATTTTCTGTATGTAAAACTATGTGACTAGGGATATCTAGTCACATATTGACTATCTAGATATCTAACACGGTTGAAAATTCAAATACTACACTTAATTTTATTAATTTATTATATTGTTAATATTATGGTTTTACTTTGATGATATTTAATCGAAGTCGGGAATTGGACGTCTCTAACATACATACTTACCAAGTTATACTAGCTCTCCATCATACATGCAATTCTTTACCTGATTCATATACGCGCCTTCATTCCCTCATTCATGCAAGCAATTTCTACCTTCATTCATACATGCGATGACGTTCCCTTATTCATATTTGTAATTTCGTTCTTTCATTTGATTTTATTCCATTATTCATGTACGCTATAACATTGCCAAGCTTCTTACATGAGCCAATACTTATTAATGACCCTAAGTTTCCCACCAAAACTGTGCGTAATTAAATTCACAAAATCAATGAGCATATATCATATATGAAGGGACTCGTAATTTCCGTCGATGCATAAATAACTTATCGAAATATTGTTATATTTCAGGAATAACAGAAAAGACTGCCGTAGTTAATAGACCCTGAACAATGCCGCGACACAATGAGGCACACAGCAATGCCGCGACACAATGAGGCACAAAGAAACCCATGAAAACGACAGCATTCAACAATACTCCCGCAACAATACCGTGGTAATGCGGCATAAAGAAACCCATGAAAACGGCGGCATTCAACAATACTCCCTGAACAATACCGTGGCAATGCGGCACAAAGAAACCCATGACAACGGCAGCATTCAACAATACACCCCGAAAATGCAGCTGCAATGCGGCACAACGGAACTCATGGCAACGGCAACATTCGTCACAACGTTGGCCTCTGGCGAGGCACTCGTCAGTCAGCAGTCGTCGAGGCCGGGTTGTGGCGTTGGTGGGGCACACGTCAGTCAGCAGCTGGTCAGGTTGTCCACAGACAGTTCGTGCTCGCTGAAAAGGCCTGGTGAGTGTGATGGTCATTAGTGGCCTGACTAAATTTCTTACAAAGTCTGCATGAGGAATCAAGCGATAATAACTAGCCAGTGTTGCAACGAAGCGTTGTTTAGTCATTTTTAGCATAATTATACAATTTGACTGCCTTTTTCAAATCAGCTGAAAAATGCGGTGAGAAACATGTACGGTTTAAATAAAAGTATTCATTTGATAAATGAAATAAATACTTTGATTTACGCGTGGACGCTAGGAACGGTCATTCCTTCCGTTGCTGCGAGGGGTTAAATTTATTGAGAATTAAGTCCAGAATTAGTCTGAAGTTAATAAATTATGTGGCAATATTGTGAAATTGAGATTTGATCCGATCGTAGAGAGCTACTTGCTGGACAATAGGTCGTGCTATATCGTTGGCTGTGGGTCGTACTATATCGTAGGTTGTGCTTCACCAGCACAATACAGGGCTAATCCGCGTCGTGATGGTAGCGTCGATGACCATTGGTTTGCATTGCAACGTACAAATACTATAACGGAAATTTATGCATACTGACTTCTATATGGCGCAAACCTCTTAGATGTAATAAATTAAGAAATCATGCTACAAAATAGTTCAGTAAATCTAATTCTTTTATCTCAATTATTTGAAAGAAAAAGTCTTATATATTGAATAATATAGCGTTAGGCAACCACTCAACAAGTAGCTGACGGCAGTCAGTACGCCACCAATCCACCTGGCCCAATTAATAATCATAGATGCTCCATATTTTTTTTTGCGGTATCAAAACTCGCTCAAGCACGCTTTGTGGCCTAAGTACACGTAGCGGCTTAAATAAAAGTAGCGGCCGATTTCTAGTCTGTAATTGATAATTTTAGCCTGAAGCGCCGTTAGCGATTGGCTGACAAAGTTAATTAGAACTCTCAACTATTTTCGACAGTACGGCTCAGGACAGGCGTCATACCCAAGCACTTACTCATGTCTATGCCCATAACCTTAATCAAAACCCTGATCTCATAACCTAAGTTAGCCCGAACAGCCTAAGCCCAGCAGCCTAAGTTTTGCTGAAAATCAGTGTGAGGTGCCATTTTCATTATGGACTACGGTTCACTAATATCATAAAAGTATAAAGAGAAATATTGAAAGGAATAAGGCCATGGCTGAATATAAAAGAGCTTTGAATAATAATTAGGACTATATATAAACAATGTATAATATACAAAGTAATGACCATGAATTGTATACAAAAGAGATAAGTAAGACTACACTGTATGGCGACGATGATAAAAGACTTATATTAGTAGCTTTATTATTACTATTGTTAGATATTAAATATGGGTGGCAACTGATTAATACACTTTGCAAATATCTATAACAATGGCCAATTCCTGTATCGGTGCAGTTTATGAATAATAAACATGTGTGATGAAATTTCTTATAACCAGTGGTGGGCACAGCTAACCGAAGATTTAGCTTCGATAACCCTTAATCCGCTAACTGAGAAGTTAGCTTGTATAACGCTTAACCGATAAATCACCGAAAAATTTTGCAAATTTACCGCTAACCGCTAATTTTTAAAATATCAATTTAGCTTTGACTTAATTTTTTGGGGGGCTCTAAAACTCTGAAAAAGGGACATAGTGAGCTGAACTTTTAATATGTTGTAGTATTGACAAGGAGCTTTCCAAAAAGGTGTAGCATACCAACATCAGATGACGATCAAGATATCCATAAATAATTAAATGAACAGATAAAATTAAGCAGTAGTTGACATTCAACATACAGTTTATTGCACGAAAAGAAAGTATTAAACGAATAAAAAATATTAGGAAATGAAAACACACAGGTAAAAGCAGACTTACACACTGCTCTTAATTGTTAAAATTTATTGTCTTAATTAATTTGTTAACGTTTATACGCTTATCGTTTGTCTCGTATTAGGAGGCAAAGTCGACGCTCCTTAGCTCGATCTTAAAAACTATTGCTTTAACCTTACCGGAGTGAAGACCTCTTGCTCAAACAGTATTATTACTTTTGTTAACTCTTGCTTATCTGTTACTTAATTTGAGTTTGTGCGAGTGCGTTTTCATTTTATTTTGTTCCATTTAAATGCATGTTAGAACTTCTGTGTTTCGCTCGTTGAAGATCTTGCTTTACCGGCTTTACGCCAGTGCTTCGAACCCGTAGGGGTTATTGGCTCCTTGGAGCTTCGGTATTAACCGATTATGTCACATGCCTTAGTGCTGTGAATTAACTTGCATGCTTGCATGCGCTTAACTCCTTTAAGTACGAGCGAACACTCCTTATACTGTTTTCACTTTTTTCTTCCTAATAGTTCTCTACATGAGAACTCTTTATACGAAAAAGAAAAAGGTGCAATCGAACATTTCGAGAATATTGCTACTGTAATTGACTTAAGCGATATAGATCATTGGAAAATAATTGTTAATTTTTGCATGAAATTACGAGGGAAAAGGATAAAAAATGTGCTGATAGTTGCTACACCACACTAATTTTTGAGATTGTCATTTTAGCTATGGCTCTCCATTGTTCCTAATTTTTCTGAGCATGTTTTGGTTTTTATCCCATTTTATTAACTATCGATCTTAGAAATATTATCAATAAGAATGTTTTCTTTGCATTTATTTACAGATAATCTGAATCCTACATCTACTGACGGCATCTGGGCAAGTTGCTGCAGCTAGTATTAACGGCTGCAACAAGCCACTCATAGTTTTACCGGCAAGTAAAGGTTAGGAATGAAGCTAGTAGTAGCTGTCGGTATTTTCTCATCTGTAGCTGCCTGAGTATCTTTAGAGATCACAAAATAAGTTTAGGGAGAATTTCGGGGTCTGTAATTTATTTTTCGCATACCATCCGCTATAATTTCGTGATTCATTACCGAAGGTCATTAATAGATTGAAACACTAGTTTAAAACCGAGTTTCATCAATTGATAGTGTTATAGTCTGATGGCAGTAGACGTTAGAAACTCATTACCACTAAATTCTGCTGAATATGAATTCTTTAACTTTCAAAATCGAATTTTCAATCACAATATGTAGCAAGTTGTATTTAGAAACAAATAAAAACTTGTTGTACAACCTTGTATGATAAATGTTTTCCCAAAAAACAACGAGACCAAAAAAGATTCACCAAAATACAAAACTTATCAAAGATTCATGTAGTAGGTCATAAAAATGTACACAACTTTATAGGTACATGCGAACCGTTACTAATATGATCCTTTGTTGCCTTCATTTACGACTAGGTAAGCGCCGTTAGTTGTTCACGTGCCGGTACTCGCCGCACACCGACGCCACGAAACTAACATATTTGCTTCTGTGCGTTACTGGTATGAAACAGAAAGGTTTGTTCTTATTTGCCGCTGTTCGCTACTCGCTAACGAAGCAGTGGGTGACCCTCTACACGAGGCAAGTATCCCGAAAATTACCACCGAACGAAATTTGCTTCTTGTGCGGGCACCATAAATTGAGAATATTAATTAGTTCATATAATGACGTGTGGAATTAGTTCCATTCCATTCAAATTTAAGCCAGCTACTTATATAAAGCAATTAAATTTATATCGGTGTAAATTAGTAAAAAAATTGTGTTTTAACTATTGGATCCAGATACGGTACTTCATGAGACGAACTGCGGGGTCCAGTGTACGGAGAAACTCAGGATGTCCGTCGGTGGTCTGGTCCTCTTTGGACTGGTAACCGAAGTGGTCCTTCCAGTCTGGACTGTTCAAGAGGCGGGTGTGGCGTCGCAGGTGGCTTGCGCGTCTCGTTGCAGTCAACACGATGCTTGTGGAGGGTTCCAGTGGAACTCTTCTTCAGTGAGAAATTTAACATAAATTTTCTTGCTGTTGACAGAATATGTTAATCAACGGGTACGCTCTAAAATTTGAGGCCATTTAGACGCGCAAATCAGAATTGCTGGATGACGGTAAGTAATTTACTTTATATTGCTTTATCAAGTCTGTTCAGATCGTACGTACCAATCCCAGCGCGCCAACAGACACTTTATTCAGCGAGGCAAAGATTACATATTGCAGTTGGATTACATACGTCTGGGGTCTTGAGCGGTGAGGTCGACTTAGTTGGGGTGGTTTAAGGTCTGATGCTGGCTGGAGATGAGGATGAAGGTAGACGAGGTCGTGAAGAAGGCTTAGTTCCATAGCCCACTGGAATAGGCCCGTTGGTTTCGGGGCGTGAGAGGGAAGGGCATTGGGATGGATGGAGGAGAGGAAGAGATAACACAGATAATATGGTTGTAGTGCAGTCATATAAACAAATGGAGATTGGAACCAGAGGTACAGAAAAGGATATGTGTGTTACATTTTCCTGGTAGAAAGCGTTGGCTTCTGAGAGGTTGCTCTTTCTGTAGGCTTAATTAGAGCGAGAGTACAATCACGAATCTTTGCGGCCATGAGTTAAATTAAAATGGCGCTCATCAACTGCTTTCGTGTTGCTACCGCAGTGCTTCCTGGTGGTGGTAGCTTCGGTGCCTGGCGCCGTGAATGGCGCGATGACGAACGCGTTCAGACTCAACTCGTACAGGACGAACTACCACCTGTACGAATTCCCTCCTCCGCCAGGTGGCATCGATCCCGCGTAAGTTCAGCTGATTGTTTGTAGACTTTTCTAATATAAGCTACAACAGAATTTCTCCTTGCATATGAGCCAAATGTGTGTATAGTTGGATGATTTTTTAGCTATCGCTATACGAGTGAGTTAATAACACAAGGCTATTAATACGCGAATAGAGTCTTATGTTCATTTTTCATTCCGCAAGAGTTTCTCATTTGACACATTTGAAGAATGTATGTAATTATTAACAAGAGACATGAACTCTGTGTTCTTTTTACATCAAAAGCGAACCGAAAAATCACTCAATCGAATGCCCGTGACAACAATTCAAGGGCGAGCAAGGGCGCCAGGATGTACGTGGATGCCTAATGGGCCAGAATCACCAACATGCCGGAAGCCATGAGTTCACTTTAACAGCGACTCTATTGGGCGCTTGATAAAGTCTTTGATTGGTTGAAAAACGTATTATTATTATGCCCTGTGTACATTCGTGCTAATTTTATCTACAGATTGACACGTTTCAGCGAGTAAGAATGAGGAATACTGAAGGAAATGAATTTAAAAGACATATATCGTCTAAGGTTGGTGGAAACATTTCAAAGACTTCCAACATATAAAGTAAATAGATTCATGTCAAGGACCTTCATCATCTAAGGTATATGGATACGTTTCAAAAACCTCCAACATATAATATAAGTAGATTCATTTCAAGGGCCTTCATCATCTAAGGTAAGTGGATACATTTCAAAGACCTCCAAAATATAAGGTAGGTAGATTCATTTCAAGGGCCTTCATCATCTAAGGTAAGTGGATACATTTCAAAGACCTCCAACATATAAGATACATTTCAAGGACCATCATCATCTAATTCTAAAGTAAGAGGATACATTTCAAAGACCTATATCATTAAATGCATGTGGATGCATTTCATAGACCGTCATCAGCTAAGGTAAGTGTCTATATTCCAAAGACCTACATCATCTAAGGTAAGTGGATACATTCCAAAGACCGACATCATCTAAGGTAAATGGATACATTTCACAGATCTTCGTCATCTAAAGTACGTGAATAAATTTTAAAAATCTTCAAAATTTAACTTAAATGATTCACTTTCGAAGAACTTTCAATTTCGTTTCTATCTGATGATGCATCTCTGTAGTAGTTTAGAGAGGACACTAAACAATGTTTAGGCGGAAATTGATCTACGTAAAATTGTTCATTCGGTGTTATCATATAGCTGATGTCTCGGTTGATATAAGTCTATATAAGCTCCATCTCAGATGGAAGATTCAATCAATTGCTGGGACGGACCTCGAAATTATTCCCATGATGGTGGTCGAAGACCATCAATCATGATTCAATGTTAGACATATTAATTCGCATCATTTATTAATAATAAACTTCATTTGTAGAAACGCCCTGGCCACCTGTCGGAACAACAGCATGGATCTGGTGCCATACCCTGTCACCTTGAAAGTGAGTCACAAAAAGTCAGACTTTGCGTCCCAATAATCTTTATGTCTTAGGCGTTGGAAGTTAAGGATGTACTGCCCAATAACCAGAATTGCCTCGAGAGCACAAGAAATTTACATTATTACTTAGCGCAAGAAATTTACATTATATTATAATATCAAGGATCAGTTAACGACTATACCCTACGCATAGAAAATTACATAATAAAAGCATGTATAAAGCAACAACTGCATGGGGCTTATCGCAGGAGGATATCTTTTGTGTGGATTCGTACGATTAACGCAATTTGTTTTTTTTAATAACGGTTTGTATCTCGGATAAAGAAATTAATGAATTGAAAATTTGCCCTCAATGATTATGAAAACATGTCTGTAACATCTCTCAACCAACTGTAAGACCACATGCTGACATAAAAATAAATTCTGGCTCCTTAGGACCAAGGAAGTCGACGTTTTGCAACTCGACACGAAATTTTGGTGAAATCGTTACCTGATACATGTAACTTTTTACAACACTTCTATTTAACATCACTTCTTGTTGTTTGTTTTTTCGTTTTGTTTGTTTGTTTGTCAGCTACAAATCTTATAATCGATATTTAAAACACTTCTACCGCTCCAATCGATCAAAAATTGTGCACACTTGCATAAAGTTGGAGACAATGCATGAATCAATTGACCAAATAAATAATTTTTAAAATAAATAATTTTGAAAACCAAAAAAATTATTTTTAATACTAAAAAAAAATAAAAAAAATAATTTTGTCTGCTACATATCTCATAATTAATATTTAACACACTTCTACCTGTCCAATCGATCTGAAATTGTCCACAGTTGCGTAAAGTCGGAGACAACGCATAAATCAATTGATAGAATAAATAATTTGGAAAATTTTAATTTTTTTAATTTTAAAAATTAAATTTATAAATTAATTTTTTATATTTAATAGTTAAAATAGAAATCCATTGTACATTTGTAACATCGGACACACTGCATTCTTTTGAAGTGTTGTCTTCAAAATTTAATTTTTAAACGCATATTATCATAAAATAACGCCACTCTGCTCCGCTCATCCACCGTCTGCTGAGTTATTCAGTTAGACGATAAAGAGTTTCAGCATCAGCTGCTTCTTCGCGTATCTTACGTGATTTTTGTGCACTTTGAAGCGATATATTCTGGAGTCAACCATTTTAGTAGTCGACTCTCTTTCATTAACGGATTGACGTCGACCTAACGCGGTCCCATTCATAGCAAAAATGACGTAAGTCTGATTTAATTTTTACCAATTTCAGGACAGGGCGAGTTTGAGCATCCGGCAGACGCGGCGCCTCTTCGTAGACATGATACGTGCCAGCGACGGCTCGTACGTCACTCTGAGCTCTGGAGTACCGGTGCCGAACACGGCCATCTATGGCTGGATGCCGGGAAGTCCTGACGGCGGGATCGGACGATGCATTGGAATGGGCGGCCCGGACCTCTTGTTCTTCGACTTCAACTGCAGTTACACGACTACCAACGCTGGAGTCATTTGCGTCTACAGTACATTACAGTAACACACGCACTATGTTGAACTGACTCGAAGAAAATTGTCTTTGAGCAAACTTCGTCAGAACTATTACGTCAAATTATTGACTGGAAACAGTGTTCTTTGTGTAGACCATTTGCATTCGTTTTTTCTTCATATTGCACGTCAATCGTTATTAGCCTCTATTGGCACTAAATTTAGTGTTTATGTAAGCAAAGAATGAATATGCTTCGACATATTATATATGTGTGTGTACTGTACGTGTGTTTCTATTATTATTCAAGTTTATTACTTTGCTCCGATAATTTATCCAGCTATACATATCTGTATTATGGTTGCTTGCTTCATCTAAAACAGGGGTCGGTGAGAAAATTTCACTGTAAATTTCACAAAATTATTTTCGGCGAGAAAATTTCACATCATTATTGATATTTCTCATGATAAAAAGTCTAATCCCAAACCCATGTCGTTTCCTATTAAATTTTTGACAATGCTAAACATGCGGTTTTGTCAAGAAATGAGAATTATAAAACGACTTTGCTATTTATAAATAAGCATAAGATAATCACAAGCTTAATGAGCGGCAGCAAGACTATAGATATCTGTTAAACAGTTAGTAAGCTGCAACCGTAAACGTAGCAGCACTGCATTCATTTTAATCAGGGTACATAGATGAGATGCAAAGAATTACAGATCTAACTTTTAAAGCTTACTTTACTCGTTTCTGATTACTTTCACCGCTACTGTGTGTATTCATGGTCACCACGTTTGAACCTGATTCGCTAGGACTCGTTTTCTTTATACGTAGTGCCTGGAAATCTGTTTTAGATTATGTTTCTAAAATTATAAGTTTCTCTTCATTTTTCTATAACTTCACGATCACCTCACGACAAAACATTGGTCAGGTTTGAACAAAGTCTCTAGTACTGCACGCATCGCTGCTTTACTGCGATTTGCTTTGCTTTCTGAGCTTGCGTTTCAAGCGTAGCTCTTCCTGGTCTGCCTGTTTAGAAAAACAATTCAATGAATATTACAGCATGTGCTGAATATTGGGTTGCTATGCAGGGCCTACCGGATCACAGTTCGTAATCCCGGTGTTCGCAACGAATTAAATTTTCTGCATGATCTGACTCCAAAAGATCCCAATATAATAATTAGTCAGTCGTCAAAGATACAAAACCGATTTACACAAACTATTTCCTTCATTCACTTCAGTTCTCAAGCACCCTGAAAGTCTAGCATTAAATTTATCATCACCGTATTTGTAAATTTTGACCATCGTGAAAACGTATTATGACTTTTAAGAAGAGCTCTCTGGCTGTATACTTTCCATGAAAACGCACGGGATACCAAAATATTTAGTTTTCTGTTAGATCATAGCATGACTGAATTATCAAACTCAAAAACCAATCTTGCAACTCCAATCTTGCAAGTTCTTGGCCATGATGCAACGGCTTTGGTACGTACACAGCATAACAATTTTCGACACCTAGTATGAAATTGCAGATCGACAGCAATTAAAACGAAGGAATGCGTTTACATTTCAATGCAGCTAGAGTAATCACTTTTTATTCCGTTTCTAGTACATGCTTATTTTTAGATAAATTAAGGTGGACCGATTTTTAAAGAAAAAGCTTGCCATTATTAAACGGAGAGCTTTGTATTGCTGGCTCTATTTGCAATGAATTATCTCTGCGATACCTGCGCCTCAGTTGCGGCTTCTCTTGAACCTCAGCTCTACATTGAGGCAGGTTTACTTTGCGGCAGCCCTAAGATTGCGGCTGCTCTACTTTGTGGCAGCTCTACTTTGTGGCAGCTCTACTTTGTGGCTGCTCTACTTTGTGGAAGCTCTAAAATGTGGCAGCTCTAAAATTGTGGCAGCTCTAAAGTTGTGGCAGCTCGAAGATTATGGCCGTTCTACTTTCTGGCAGCTCTACATTGTGGGCGCTATGCATTGTGGCAGCTTTACTTTGTGGCAGCTCTACTTTGTGGCAGCTCTACTTTGTGGCAGCTCTACTTTGTGGCAGCTTTACTTTGTGGCAGCTTTACTTTGTGGCAGCTCTACTTTGTGGCAGCTCTACTTTGTGGCAGCTTTACTTTGTGGCAGCTCTACTTTGTAGCAGCTCTACTTTGTGGCAGCTCTACTTTGTTTACTTTGTGGCAGCTTTACTTTGTGGCAGCTCTACTTTGTAGCAGCTCTACTTTGTGGCAGCTTTAAATTAATTTGCGGCTGCTCATTCATAAAATTTCGGGTTCAACAACAGGCAACCATTAAATCAGGGTGAAATTCTGTGTTTTTATTCTCCTTAGAGAGGTCGAATGCAACAGAGGTCAGAAGGCGTTTAGAACGACGCAATAAATATGTGCTAATTTTTATTTCGCGATTTTCAACATTAAAAGTCATTCTAATATTATAATCGACTCATTTTACGGGGTTTTACGAAGACAACATTTGGATCGACGGCTGATAAAAATTTTTAATCGATAGATGCATCACTGTTGATAGTATTAAAAAACTTGTAAATGGACGTATTGTAAAGATATTGTCATGTAGATTTGATAAGGTTTCCTGTAGTAGATAATTTAGAACGAAGCCATTTGGTCCTGTAGTTTTTGCTTGCAGGGGTAAGTGAGCTGCGCGTTGGATTTAATATTAGGTAATAGGTAAAAAATCAGGCACGAAACAATGAATATATTTGCATTCTTTAGTCGTAATTTATAACCTCGTGGCAGAGCGTATAGGTACTTAACAATTTGATGACACAAGATTGTAGTTGGCCAACTCGAATGGTTCATGTTAGTATCGGTATAGTAGCGCGGCGTTACATTATTCATACACAATCGGTGATTTTTTCATACAAGGAGAAACACTGAGCTTTATGGAGAAGACTATGTTCTACAAATGAAGTTTAGGAAAGAGTTTGCTCAGATACAATACTATTATTATCACTTCGCTTACGGGGAGCGTCTGGCCACTTTTTTTTCTTGGCTGTTTACAGATGGATCATTTTGAAACTTGGTACACCATTGTAAAACCGAAAAATAGACAGCTTTTATTCATGTCTATTTTTCGAAAAAAAAATGAAAGAAAACGTGAAATTCTTAGAAAACGACCAAAAAAGGGGGTACTGTAGAAATCTCCTCCTAGGATTTTCAAGCTACAACATTGAGACGCATATCATTCGATGCGTAAAGACCATATCTATCGATTTATGATAGCGTTTTTCGAAATTCGAATATTTGTGGATGGGGGAGCATTTTTTGCAAAATGTTCGAAATTTTTTCGATTTTCCCCTATTTCCCCCTCCTTTTTTCAAATATTTTCCAAACTATGACGAAATTGAAAAAAGCTACCATATATCGATGGATATTTTAATTGCGAATCGAATGGTAGATGTCTCATCACTGTAGCTAAAAAACTCTAGGAGGAGATAGGTTTGCAGTGACAATAAGTTAATTGTTCAGTAGAGCCCGACAAAGTCCCGGGCGCCGCGAAATAAGCGTTCAAGGTGACAAGAATGCAAGACTAGGCGATACTGGAGCTCATTTTCTGTCAAGGTTGGTGTGAACGACGACGCGCAAACCCTCTAATGTTGGCCAGACGCTCCCCTTATGCTCGCATTGCTTCGCCGGGGTAGGGCTTGGATAACGATTACGATGTCTGAAAGATCATGAAATTGAAAATTACACTTGGAGGAGATTAATATCTTAAGATTACCCAATAAATTCCTACGCAATATACATGCAATGAATTTATTATGCTTGTGCAACAAGCTGCATAAATGAGTCGACAGAACAATGTAGTCTCCCCAGAAGCTTTTCTCTTTGATTTTAAATTACATAGAAAAGAAAAAGTCAGTGGTAGTTCGCTTACGTGCAGTGGTAATTTCGCTTATAAACAAGTATCGTTAGGTAGGATTTTTGATAGGGTCAGAGTTGAATGTCCGCTGTCATGTGTACAAGATGTTCAGTTTACGGTCTTCAGTTACAGTGTTCTTTTTAACTTACACGTACTACACCATACGATTGAAGATGATGGTATGTATTTTAAGTACTAATGGAAAACAGATACAGTAGACAATATAAGCTGTAGCAACATACTAGAAGGTAACACTGGATGATCAGTTGTATGCTCTTCACCAAGTACTGAAGGTGCTCCGATAAGAGGTGCAAGGATGACGAGGAAAGCACTCTGATCCTTAGTGCTATCATTATATGATGTAGTCATTCTGTACGCTATTGTCTAGACCCTGGTTGTTGGCTCACAGGAATGAGGGAACGATTCAAGGATGAAGAGATTAGGATAGACAGAACGTTATGCGTTAGATCTGTACACTCCCGGCAACTGCGAGAGGCCTCGCAACATCAGGTTGAATAGCACCGTGCTCAGACAACTTTGGGCAATACTGGTGCCAACAAGCAAGAGTAAGATGACTCGCTTTGCAGTCGGACAATCAGTTAGCCGTCCAAGAAATAGTCGCTTAACTACCATCAGCGAGCCAGAGAAACCAGCAAGGGCAGGGGTCGCGAAAAAGAAACACCCAAACTCTTAAAATCGATTACACGTTTGTTAAAGTTTGCAGTTGTTTGTGTCGGAAGACTCTCATCGTAAGTGCCTGTTTGAACGCGTATCCAGGCTAACTATCGTGTCGGAATGTAAAATTTTTATTATATTTTTATATTAAAGTGGCGGAATCATAGGAAACAGAAAAATATTGAATAACAAGATTGGCTGTCGTCGAGTGAGGTTGTGCGGCGCTTGGCTCCCTGTTCCTCGGCTCTCCATTTCACCGAACTTCTGCTCCCGTTCGTATACTGCTTTGCCTATTTCCCCGTTTGCAAACTGTGATGGCTAGTGATAATGAGAGTGATACTAACTCCACCTATTCTGATGCTTCCATTGGTGTCGGTAGTGCCTCGATGCGCGAGGATTTGGAAAAGGTGGACAAGTTGCTGTCCTTCCTCAAAAACTACAGTCCTGAGAAAAGGAAAGCAGGTAGACCAGGGAAACTTTCTAACGTGGTTGCTGCTAATACAGTGAATTTTGACAAGGTTATTAAAGTAGTGGATGCAATATACTCCCTCAATGTCAGAATGCTCAACAAGCTTGAAAACCTAATATCTGTGAATTCGAAACTCAAGTGTGACGTCGACTTGATCGTTGAAAAGCAGGACACCTCTCCGAGTTATGATGACGTGGTGCCTCGTAGCGTCTCCTCACCTCAGGTATCCTCTGTTGAACGCCGCTTTGCTGCCCCAAGGAATAACGCAGGTGCCTCCAGAAATGGTATGGTAAAATATTTGGATCCTTCAATGTTGCGCTTGGAAAGACGACTCGATTGTGTTGAGCAGGAATCTCTTGTAAGAGTTATGGCCTGTCGTGGTGGTTTTATCCAAACGATTGTCGACTCTTCCATCGTAAACTCTGATGGAAAAAAGTTGAGGCACTGACGAATGCTGATCAACTCAAGAAATTATTTATGGGTAAGGTGAACGAGTTTATTGATGATACTCTATGTGCCACGGACATCGAGACGGAAGACATCGTTGGTAGGGATAAAAAACACCGCCGAGTGTCCTTCCTCTCCAAGGAGGCAAGGAACAGAATTATTGTGGCCGTGAAAAGGAAAAAGCCGGACGACCTGTTTGTTAATGAATATCTGACCAAAACGCGAGCAGCTATTTTATTCAAGCTAAGAACTCTTAGGAGGAATGCTGAGACTATTGATAGAGTATATTTACGGCATGGTCAAGTTTGTGTCAAGACCAAAGTGACAAGATTTCATTCATCAATTGCGAGTCTGACCTGGCTGGTCTTGAGGCGTCATTGGTCATCCCAAGTGCCTGAAGCTCCGCCTCTTGTCTCTGTTATTGCCAGTATCTACCACTTCTATTATGGCTGAGTTAATCTATCCTAGTCTATCCCTTAGAGATGAGTTAGTTGCGAATATTCCTGAAGTTCACTGTAGAATGTATGACGTGGATGCTTTCTCAGACCGAATCAGTGAGCTTGGCATAAAATCGAAATCTTTTTCAGTTGTTTGTGTAAATATCAGAAGTATGAGGAGGAACTTTGACCAGCTCTTGATATTTCTTAGTGCTATTGATTTTAAAATTTCGGTAATTTTTATAACGGAAACGTGGCTTTGCGCAGACACTGATCAGGTATTCAACATTTGTGGTTACTATAGATTCAGCATCTATTCTATCGTAATCTTCATGGTGGCGGCATAGCTGCCTACGTCGATAATAAGTTTAGTGCTAGGCTTGTTGAAACGTTCACCTGGGTAAAATCGGAATATGAATTGATAAACATTTCTGTCAGTTTGCCCATGTTTGACCTCTCTCTTTTTTGTGTGTACCGACCTCCTTCTCAAACCGTTTTAAGTTTCAATGAACTTTTCCCATTGGAGGTGCTATCAAAACTTGAGAGGACCAGTAAAGTAGTCCTTTGCGGTAATTTCAATATAAACCTGTACAATCCTCTTAATCTATGTTCTATCAACAATTTAATTCATGACATTCTTTGTTATAATTTTTATCCAGTTATAACCAAACCTACCAGATTATCCCCTGAAAATCCTATTACATTATACTCACTGCTTGACCATATTTGGTGCAACTTCTCCTGTGGATCTAATCCAGAAGCAGGGGTTATCGACTGTGACTTATCAGACCATCTGATGACATTTTTTTACTTTGAAACTGAGTTGTCGACAGCTCCATCCAGGAAAAACATTCGCTATATCAATGCCGATAACATTCACGTGTTCAGGGAGAATATGAGATTTTTTCCTTCGCTAACTATAACTAATATTGATTACCCTAACCTTGCCATGCGGTCTTGCTTGGATGAACTTTTCAAAATTTACAACTCGTCCTTTCCAATGAAGTCTGTCGTGATTAAAAAACGTGGACCTCCTTGAGTTACCACTGAAATTAAATCTTTAATCAAGAAGAAGCATAAACTCTTGAAGCTTTCCCGTACTGGTGCAATTTGTCGTGGATCGTACTCGATCTATCGGAATGTCTTGAATGTGCTGTTGAAAATGGTCAAAAAGCAATACTACTCGACTAAAATCCAGCAAGACTCTAACGACTCGAGGGCCTTATGGAATACTGTTAATTCTCTTCTTGCAAGG